ACAAGATTAAATGGCAAGCAGCACGGATTCATGGAAGGCAAATGCTGTGTCACAAATCTCTTGGAGTTTTATGACAAGGTAACAGAAGTAAGACACGAGAAAGAGGGATGGGTTGACTGCATTTTCTTGGACTGCAAGAAGGCCTTCGACACAGTTCCTCACAAGAGATTAGTACAGAAACTAGAGAATGAGGCACGTATAACAGGAAGGGCACTACAATGGATCAGAGAATACCTGACAGGTAGGCAACAATGGTACGTGATGAGGTATCACAGTGGGCACCTGTGACGAACGGGGTCCCACAGAGGTCAGTCCTAGGACCAGTGCTGTTTTTGGTATATGTGAATGACATGATGGAAGGGATAGTTTCAGAAGTGCCCGTGTTTGCAGATGATGTGAAGTTAATGAGAAGAATTAAATCGGTCGAGGATCAGACAGGACTACAAAGAAACCTGGACAGGCTGGACATGTGGTCCAGCAACTGGCTACTCGAATTTAACCCCGCCATATGCAAAGTCATGAAGATCAGGGAAAGGCATAGAAGACCGCAGAGAGAGTATAGGCTAGGTGACCAAAGACTGCAAACCTCATTCAAGGAGAAAGATCTTGGGGTGAGTATAATACTGAGCACGTCTCCGGAAGCACACATCAACCAGATAACTGCTGCAGCATATGGGCGCCTGGCAAACCTAAGAATAACGTTCCGATACCTCAGGAATCGTTCAAGACACTGTACACCATGTACGTCAAGCCCATTCTGGAGTATGCAGCACTAGTCTGGAACCCACACCTGGTCAAGCACGTCAAAAAATTAGAGCAAGTGGAAAGGTTTGCAACAAGGCTAGTACCGGAGCTTAGGGGAATGTCTTACGAAGAAAGGTTAAGGGAAATCGGCCTGACGACACTGGAGGACAGGAGGGTCAGGGAAAACATGATAACGACATACAAAATATTGCGAGGAATAGACCAGGTGGACAGAGACAGGAAGTTCCAGAGGTGGGACACAGAAACAAGAGGTCACAATTGGAAGCTGAAGACTCAGATTAGTCAAAGGGATGTTAGGAAGTATTTCTTCAGTCACAGAGTTGTCAGAAGTGGAATAGTCTGGAAAGTGAGGTAGTGGAGACAAGAACCTTACATAGCTTTAAGACGAGGTATGATAAAGCTCGTGGAGCAGGGAGAGAGAGAGAGAGAGAGAGAGAGAGAGAGAGAGAGGGGGGGACCTAGTAGCGATCAGTGAAGAGGCGGGGCCAGGAGCTGAGTCTCGACCCCTGCAAGTACAGTTAGGTGAGCACACACACAAACATACACAAAACACAAAGATCCTCACACAAACAAAGCCAAAACTCACGTGTTTCCAGGTACATATATGACAGCTGTACAAGTCAGTCACAAAAACTTCAGACAACAGCGGACAACAAAACAGGAAAACTGCGCAAGATTTTCCTCCTGGGAAAAATTATGTAAATGATGAACAGAATAACAAATGACAAGAAGAACAATAATGTTGTTTTAAGTGGAACTGAGGAGATGCATAGTGGAGAGTCGTCTTTCATTATGACGTGCAGTGACGTGTGATGTTGCGTGATGACGTGTGGTGACGTGTGATGATGCGTGATGACGGGTAATGACGTGTAATGATGTGTGGTGACGTGTAATGAAGTGTAGACACAAGTAATGACGTGTTGTGACGAGTAACGATGTGTGTGACGTGTGATGACGGGTAATGACGTGTGGTGACGTGTGATGACGGGTAATGACGTGTGGTGACGTGTGATGACGGGTAATGACGTGTGGCGACGTGTAGAGACAAATAATGACGTGTTGTGACAAGAAACGATGTGTGGTGACGTGTGATGAAGGGTAATGACGTGTGGTGACGTGTAATAACGTACTGGTCAGATCTTCAACATTATATCATTATGTCCTGGTGACTCTCCTTTGTGCTCCTGCTGACTCTCCTTTATGTTCCTGCTGACTCTCATTACTCTTCCTGCTGACACTATTTAGTCTTCCTGCTGACTCTCATTACTCTTCCTGCTGACACTACTTAGTCTTCCTGCTGACTCTCATTACTCTTCCTGCTGACACTACTTCGTCTTCCTGCTGACTCTCATTACTCTTCCTGCTGACACTACTTCGTCTTCCTGCTGACTCTCATTACTCTTCCTGCTGACACTACTTCGTCTTCCTGCTGACTCTCATTACTCTTCCTGCTGACACTACTTCGTCTTCCTGCTGACTCTCATTACTCTTCCTGCTGACACTACTTCGTCTTCCTGCTGACTCTCATTACTCTTCCTGCTGACACTACTTCGTCTTCCTGCTGACTCTCATTACTCTTCCTGCTGACACTACTTCGTCTTCCTGCTGACTCTCATTACTCTTCCTGCTGACACTACTTCGTCTTCCTGCTGACTCTCATTACTCTTCCTGCTGACACTACTTAGTCTTCCTGCTGACTCTCATTACTCTTCCTGCTGACACTATTTAGTCTTCCTACTGACTCTCATTACTCTTCCTGCTGACACTATTTAGTCTTCCTACTGACTCTCATTAGTAGTTCTACTCTTTTAGTCTTCCTGATGACTCAGTCTTCCTACTAACTTTCCTTAATATCCCTTCTGACTCTTCTTAGGCTTGCTGTTGACTCTACTTAGTCTGCCTGCTGACTCTACTTAGTCTTTCTACTGACTCTTCTTAATATTTCTGCTGACTCTCATTACCCTTCCTGTTTACTCTCCTCAGCCTTCCAGTTGACTCTCCTAAGCCTTCCTGTTAACTCTACTTAGTCTTCCTGCTGACTTTACTTAGTCTTCCTGCTGACTCTACTTAGTCTTTCTGCTGACTCTACTTAGATTTCCTGCTGACTCTACTTAGTCTTCCTCCTAACTCTCCTTAGTATTCCTGCTGACTCTTAATCTTCCTACCGACTCTGTTCAATCTTCCTGCTGAATCTATTTTGTCTTTCTGCTGACTCTCCTTAGTGTTTCTGCTGATTCTACTTAGTCTTCCTTCTGACTCTTCTTAGCCTTCTAGATGACTCTACTTAATCTTCATTCTGACTCTCCTTTGTCTTCCTGCTGACTTTCCTTAATCTTTCTGATGACTCATTAGTCTTCTTGTTGACTCTCCTTAGTATTCCTGCTGACTCTATTTTGTCTTCCTGCTGACTGTCCTTAGTCTTCCTTATGACTCTCCTTAGTTTTCTTGCTGACTCTCCTTAGCCTTTCTGTTGGTTCTTCTTCGTCTTCCTGCTGAGTTTCCTTAGTCTTCCTGCTGACTCATTAATCTTCCTGCTGACTCTACTTAGTCTTCCTGCTGACTCTCATTAGTCTTCCTACTGACTCTCATTAGTCGTCCTGCTGACTCTCCTTAGTCTTCGTGCTGACTCTACTTAGTCTTCCTGCTCAGTGTACTTAGTCTCATCCCAGAGACTGATGGATGAGGCGCCTTCATCCCAGAAACTAACTGGTGAGGGAGCCCTCACCCTAGAGACTGGTGAGGGCTCCTCACCAGTCTGGTGAGGGGCCCCTTATCTCAGAGACTGACTGGTAAGAGCCCCCTCATTCCAGAGACTGACTGGTGAGGGGGCCCTCATCCCAGAGACTAACGGGTGAGGGGGCCTTCATCCCAGAGACTGACGGGTGAGGGGCCTTCATCCCAGAGACTGACTGGTGAGGGGGCCTTCATCCCAGAGACTGACGGGTGAGGGGCCTTCATCCCAGAGACTGACGGGTGAGGGGCCTTCATCCCAGAGACTGAATCGCGAGGGGTCCTCATCCCATTGACTAAATGTTGAGGGGTCCTCATCCCAGAGACTAACTTGTGAGGGGTCCTCATCCCAGAAACTGAACGCTGAGGGGTCCCTTATCCCAGAGACTGAATGGTGAGGGGTCCTCATCCCAGACACTAACTGTTGAGGGGGCCCTAATCCCGGAGATTGGTGAGGGCCCCCTCACCAGTCTGGTGAGGGGGTCCTCATCTCAGAGACAGACTGATGAGGGGGCCCTCATCTCAGAGACTTACTGGTGAGGGGCCCCTCATCTCAGAGACTAACTGGTGAGGGGGCCCTCAACCCAGAGACTGATCAGGTGACCCTCAACCCAGAGACTGATCAGGTGACCCTCACCCCAGAGACTGAGTGGTGAGGGGGCCTGGTCACACCTGACTGGTCATCTCTGAGTGGTAACATTCACTCAGAGGAGTGCCAGGCGTGTCGTCAGGTGTGTGACTGGCCGTCGTGATAGCCATCTTAAAGGTGATTAGATTCAGCGGTCCAAGACAGCCGTGACAGCAGAGAGAGTCGTTGCAGCAGTGACAGCCGTGAGAACCGTGGTAGCACTGACAGCTGTAGCACCAGAGATAGCATGCATTGACAGCCGCGAGAGCAGTGACAGGCGTGACAACATTCAACCAAGAACAAACAACGATAAGAAGCTTGCGTTAGGACTTTGAACTTGGTTGTTTGATGATAGTGGAGGTGCTGGAGGAGTGGAGGTGCTGGAGGAGCGGAGGTGCTGAAGGAGCCTCTCTCAACCTCCTGGGACACAACATGCAGAGCCTCTCTCAACCTCCAGGTTCTGGAAGAGTGGAGATGCCTGGGGAGTGGAGGTGCTGGAAGAGTGGAGGTGCTGGATGAGTGGAGGTGCTGGAAGAGTGGAGGTTCTGGATGAGTGGAGATTCTGGAGGAGGGGGGTACTGGAGGAGTGGAGATCCTGGAGGAGTGGAGGTGCTGGAGGAGGGGAGGTGCTGGGGGAGTGGAGGAATGGAGGTGCTTCAACTGTGGAGGTTCTTCAACCGTGGAGGTGCAGGGGAAGTGGAGGTACTGGAGGAGTGGAGGTGCTGGAAGGGTGGAAGTGTTGGGGAGTTTAGGTGCTGGAAGAGTGGAGGTGCAGAAGGAAGTGGAGGTAATGTAGGTACTGCGGGAGTGGAAGTAGTAGTAGCAGTTATGTATCCGTGACGTGACGGGAGATGATGTGTGACGGGGGTGGTGGGTGTGAATTGGGGGGAGAGTATAAGTGTGACACGCTGTGTATCAACTGCTCACTGCGTGGCTGGACCCAGCCTGATACACTTCCTCCACACTGTGTGTGTGTGTGTGTGTGTCACCTGGCAGTGTCTCTCAGTGTCGGTGTTTGATGTGTAGTGACGAAGTGGTGTCCAGGGAGTGATAATGGGCGGCACACTGTGTTGGCTGGTGTTGATGGTGTGGGCAGCCGTGGCGGCCGCAGAGGAAGACGGAACACTACACCTGGGTGTAGGAGACCAACACCAGCGACTCTCCAAGGAATACACTGAGCCTCGTCTCGTCAGGAGGGTGTTGGACCCACCAGGAATAGCAGCTCCGCGGACCCATTTCAAGAGTTCCAGTTATGGTATACTGCTGCCCCCAAAACAGCAAAGGAGTTCTTCAGACGGAGCCCTGGGTCAGCAAACAGAGCACAGAAGTTCTCCAGACGGAGTTTTGGGTCAGCAAACAGAGCACAGAAGTTCTCCAGACAGAGCCCTGGGGCAGCAAACAGAGCACAGGAGTTTTCCAGATGGAACCCTGGGACAGCAAACAGAGCACAGAGGTTCCCCAGACGGAGCCCTGGGGCAGCAAACACAGCACAGGCGTTCTCCAGACGGGGCCCTGGAACCGCAAAGAGAGTACAGAAGTTCTTTAGACGGAGCCCTGGTTCTAGTGGAGACAGATAGAGACCGCCAGGCCTCACTCATTGAACAGGACGGCAACATACAGTACAAATCCCTCAACAAGGTGAGTCAACATGCTTTCCAGTCCTTACCTTCACTTTTGAAGGAACGAAATTTATCTAAAAAAATAAAATAAACTTGCTCGAAGCTCTCCAGAATATGGAAACAGATTTCCAAGTCATTCACAATTAACCCACGAACTGTTTTAGTTTGTTCTAGAGGTAGATATTATCAACTTGTCTAGTTTTCCTTTGTAATTTGTAGGTTAGTTGTGAATGGTTCCATCTTCGGTATTCTCAGTTTTGTTCTAGTCATGGTAACGATTAATTGGTTAGTCAGTCATGGCGAAAATCATCTGACGGATGTTGGGTGAGCATCACTCAGCCTTGGGATTTATATCAACGTGAAGTCAGAAGGTCAGGCAGGGGATCTTAAACGTTACTCTGATACTCAGATCACGTTCTTGACCTTAAAAGTATTCGTTAGTGAGTTATAACATTTGCAGGTCCTCAAAGTATTCATCAGTGAGTTGTAGCACTTGCAGGTCCTCAAAGTATTCATCAGTGAGTTGTAGCACTTGCAGGTCCTCAAAGTATTCATCAGTGAGTTGTAACACTTGCAGGTCCTCAAAGTATTCATCAGTGAGTTGTAACACAGGAGAGTGAAAGTCATCATTCACGCGTCATTCATATATTCATACATTCGTCAGTCGTAATTTTTCGCTTTTTCCTCATTTCTTTCACTTGAAAGATAATAATGGCTGTCGCACAGCGTCTCCCTCTCTCTTTATATCTTTCACCTGTAAGATAATGATGGCTGGATCACAGTGTCTTCCTTCTGATATCAGTGACGTCAAGACTGTGGATCAACCTTTTGTTGGGACGACGTTTCGCTCTCTGAAGAGCTTTATCTTCACGAATGACTGGAAAAAGCTCTACACAGAGCGAAACACAGCATGAGTATTCATACGCGATCTTACCCGATAACTTATACAAGATCTTACTTTGTAACTCATACAAGATTTACAAGATAACTTATGAAGGATCTTACATGATAACTTATGCAAGATCTTACATGATAACTCAAGCAAGATCTTATCTGATAACTCATGCAAGATCTTACATAATAACTCACGCAGGATCGTACATCACAACTGATGTAGGATCCTACATAACTCACGCTGGATCCTACACGATAACCCCCGCAAGATCATACATGATAACTCATCCAAGATCTTACAAGATAACTCATCTAAGATCTTACATGACAACGCAGGATCTTACATGATAACTCATTTAAGATCTTACATGATAACTCAAGCAAGATTTTTCATGATAACTTATGCAGAATCTTACAGATAACTCATACAAGATCTTATATGATAATTTATAGATCTTACATGATAACGCAAACAGGATTCTACATGATAACTCACGCAGGATCCTACATGATAACTCTTCCAAAATCTTTCATGATAACTCACGCAGGATCCTACGTGATGACTCATCCATGATCATACATGATAACTCATCCAAGACTCTACATGATAACGCATCCATGATCTTACATGATAACTTACGCAGGATCCTACGTGATGTCTCAACCAAGATCTTACGTGATAACTCATCCAAGATCCTACATGATATCTCATCCATGATCTTTCATGATAACTCATGCACGAGCTTACATGATAAATTATGCAGGATCTTACATGATAAAACACGCAGGGTCCTGCATGATAAATCACGCAGGATCTTACATAACTCAAGCAGGATCATACATGATAAGTCATGCAGGATCTTACATGATAACTCATGCAGGATCTTGCATGATAGTTCACGCAGAAACTTACATGATAACACACGCAGAATCTTGCATGATAACTCATCATGCAGGATCTTACATGACAGCTCACGCAGGATCCTACATGATAACTCATGTGGGATCTTACATGATAACTCACGCAGGATCCTACATGATAACTCACGCAGGATCCTACATGATAACTCACGCAGGATCTTACATGATAAGTCATGCAGGATCTTACATGACAACTCACGCAGGATCCTACATGATAACTCACGCAGGATCTTACATGACAACTCACGCAGGATCCTACATGATAACTCACGCAGGATCCTACATGATAACTCACGCAGGATCTTACATGATAAGTCATGCAGGATCTTACATGACAACTCACGCAGGATCCTACATGATAACTCACGCATAATCCTACATGATAACTCACGCAGGATCCTACATGACAACTCACGCAGTATCCTACATGATAACTCATGCAGGATCTTACATTATAACTCATGCAGGATCTTACATGACAACTCACGCAGTATCCTACATGATCACTCAGGCAGGATCTTACAAGACAACTCAGGAAGGATCCTACATGACAACTCATGCAGGATTCTACATCACTCACGCATGATCTTACATGTTAACTCAAGCAGGATCCTACATGATGACTCACGCATGATCTTACATGATAACTCACGCAGGATCCTACATGATAACTCAGGCAGGATCTTACATGATAACATACTCAGGTCCTTACATTAAAACTCACGCAGGATCTTACATGATAACTCACGCAGGATCTTACATGAAAACTTATCCAAGATCTTACATGATAACTCGCGCAGGATCCTACATGATAACTCAGGCAGGATCTTACATGATAACATACTCAGGTCCTTACATTAAAACTCACGCAGGATCTTACATGATAACTCACGCAGGATCTTACATGATAACTCACGCAGGATCTTACATGATAACTCACGCAGGATCTTACATGATAACTCACGCAGGATCTTACATGATAACTCACGCAGGATCTTACATGATAACTCACGCAGGAGCTTACATGATAAGTCACGCAGGATCTTACATGATAACTCACGCAGGAGCTTACATGATAACTCACGCAGGAGCTTACATGATAACTCACGCAGGAGCTTACATGATAAGTCACGAAGGATCTTACATAATTACTCATCCAAGATCATGATAACTCAGGCAGAATCTTACATGATAACTCACGCATGATAAGTCAGGCAGGGTCTTACATAATAATTCACGCAGGATCATACATGATAACTCACGCTGGATCTTCCATGATAACTCACGCGGGATCATACATGATAACTCACGCAGGATCATACATGATAACTCATCCAAGCTCATGATAATTCACGCAGGATCTTACATGAAAAGTAACGCAGGATCTTACATGATAAATCAGGAAGGATCTTACTTGATAACTCATCCAAGATCATAATAATTCACGCAGGAGCTTACATGATAACTCACGCAGGATCTTACATGATAACTCACGCAGGATCTTACATAATAACTCACGCAGGATCTTACATAATAACTCACGCAGGATCTTACATAATAACTCACGCAGGATCTTTCATGACAACTCACGCACGATCCTATATAACTCAGGCATGATCTTACATGATAACTCACGCAGAATCTTACATGATAACTCCTTCAGGATCTTACATGATAACTCACGCACGATCCTATATAACTCAGGCATGATCTTACATGATAACTTCTGCAGGATCTTACATGATAACTCCTTCAGGATCTTACATGATAACTCACGCACGATCCTATATAACTCAGGCATGATCTTACATGATAACTTCTGCAGGATCTTACATGATAACTCCTGCAGAATCTTACATTACAACTCATGCAAGATCTTACATGATAAATCCTGCAGGAGCTTACATGATAACTCACGCAGAATCTTACATGATAATCTCAGAATCTTCTTACAAACTCACGCAAGATCCTACATGAAAACCTGCAGAGCTTACATGATAACTTCTGCAGGATCTACATGATAATCACGCAGAATGTCCTTAAAATGATAACTCAGCAGGATCTACATGAAAACTCACAGTATCTACATGATAATTCAATGCAGGATCCTACATGATAACTTCGCAGAATCCTACATGATAACTCACGCAGGATCTTACATGATAACTCACGCAGGATCCTACAGATAACTCCAATCGATCTACATGATAATAGCGCATGATCTCTACATGATAACTCACGCAGGATCTACTTGATAACTCACGCAGAATCCTACATGATAACTCAGCAGAATCTAATGATAATCCGCAGGATCTTACAGTATATCAGCACGGATCTTACATGATAACTCAGTAAGTTCCTACAGTGAATAATCACGCAGATCTACATGATACTCAGCAGGACTAAGATAATCAGGTGCAGACAACAATGAACTAGCATTCGCAACAGGTGCAGCAACAATAGCAGCAGCAACAGTTGCAGCAACAATAGCAGCAGCAACAGGTGCAGCAACAATAGCAGCAGCAACAGGTGCAGCAACAATAGCACAGCAACAGGTTGCAGCAACAATAGCAGCAGCAACAGGTGCAGCAACAATAGCAGCAGCAACACAGGTGCAGCAACAATAGCAGCAGCAACAGGTGCAGCAACAATAGCAGCAGCAACAGGTGCAGCAACAATAGCAGCAGCAACAAGTGCAGCAACAATAGCAGCAGCAACAGGTGCAGCAACAATAGCAGCAGCAACAGGTGCAGCAACAATAGCAGCAGCAACAGGTGCAGCAACAATAGCAACAGCAACAGTTGCAGCAACAATAGCAGCAGCAACAGGTGCAACAACAACAGCAACAGCAACAGTTGCAGCAACAATAGCAGCAGCAACAGGTGCAGCAACAACAGCACGAACACATCTGAATTTCATTCTCCGTCATCGAGTTTTTAGCTAAGTTTATGTAAAAGTTTGAAGAGGATTCTGGAAGTTATGGCAGACATTCCGGGTTGATGGGAACGAGCACAACTTTCGTCCTACAACAAGTGAAGATGACAATAGTTCCGACAATTTTCTCCTCGTTACCATACACAAGTGTTGGAATTTTGTAGGCGACTGGTTGAAGCGTTCTCACGTTATGAGCGAAATAAAATAGAAAAGATGGAGAAAGGAAGGGGAAAAAATGCAACCGCTTAAAAGGCATCCTTTCTGGGGTTA